GTGTGTGTGTATATGTGTGTGTGTGTGTGTGTGTGTATATATATACATACATATGTAATATTCATGTATTGCTCTTTTGTTGGTTCTGATTACTTCTATTGTCATCATTTGTAAGTCACTTTGGATAAAAGCGTCTAAATAACTAAATGTGAAATTTAAAATAAAATGTTATTATGTTGTCATTACAGGAAAGCCGGTGTTAAAATCCAAGATTAAAATGTTTTACTGGAATGTTTTACTCTCAGCTGTTATGAATGCACAGCGGGAAGGGGCGTGGCCGTTCTCTCTTCGCTTCTCTGATTGGTCACGTCAACTATTACCGCAGAGGACAGGGTGGGTGGGCGGAGCCTGCGTGCATGTGGCTGTTACGAGCGGACAGCTGATTGGCTGACACGACGAAGGCAAGCGTATCCTTTAACGCCATTGGTTGTTTGTGGCGGTGGGCGGGATCTTTCGGCTGAGCTTCGTAACAAATGTAGACGCAGCAGCTGCGCTGCACAGAAGACCGAGCGATCGGCTTATAAACTAGAGCTGCGTTACGAGCTAAATAACGGGCATTTAAAAAAAAAAAAATTACATTCGGATCCTAACGGCCTGCTAATATTGATATTTTGGCGCGTTTCTGTGCGGATCGGCGGCCGTTATTGTAGCAGCGCGCGCGAGACGGTGGATTTACCTCAGAAAAACCGAACCGAACACCGCGGATATTTCACCGGAATATTACGTGTTTACGGCGAGCAGGAGAAGCGTTCGCCACACACCGTCACCCGCTCGGTTCACAGGTCACGGGGTTCTCGGATGGAGCGGAACACCGAGGCGCGGAGTCACGGATCGCGGTCCCGGTGTGAGGAGCTCCTCCGCGGCGACGCGTCCATGAGCGTATCGATCAGCTCCACCACCGGGAGCCGCTTCGAGCTGTCCGTTCCTCTGGAGGAGACCGTGGAGGGGCTCAACCGGAGACTGTCCGAGAAACTCCGGGTTCCGAGGGAGCGACTGCTGCTGCTGCACCGAGACACGTGAGTCAGTCCGGGATCCGGTCAAACTCCGCTGCGCTTGATTCGGAGTCGGTTCTGAATCGGTTCGTTTGGTCGATTCCTTTGGTTCTTTGAGTAATCTAGATCAGAACCTCAGGGCTGATGTCTAGCTCGAGGAGCGTGCACAATCCTGCGAGGGTTTTAAACTGGGTTTGGAGGAGAGTGTAACAGATTTAATTCGTCTCTCCACAAATTAAGGCCTTAAAAGGTTTTTAAATAAGATCAGAAAGTCTTTAATTCATAAATGCTGCATGCACTGCAACACAATGCTTTCCCAGGGCACATCATTTGAGATGCAAAATGGAGATATGAAGTCTGAGAAACTGAACAAAAGTGAGTTCATGCTTAAAACAAGAGCAAGCATCTGTGTGTGGGGAATACAACTGGTTTTCCTTTTAAATTAAGCCCATTTGCAGATCTGCATGTTTTTGTTTTAAGCTTAAACTCAAGTTTTGTGATCTTAAAGGAGAGTTAAGTTATTCAGTGTTTGGAGACGTGTTCAGAAAAGCAAAGAAACCATCTCATGCATGTGTCAGCCCTGGAGAAGTGCATGATGGGAAGTCTGAGGGACTGTGTGTTCTTCGTCCGCAGGAGGTTAAACTCGGGAAAGCTGCTGGATTTCGGTGTGGCTGACGGGAGCAGACTCACGCTGGTGCCCACGGTTGAAGCCGGACTGATGGTACAGAACTCTTCCTTCTCAGAAATCACAGGTTTATACATTTAAAGGCCTAAACTGAATGCTTTTGGCTGTGGTTATCATAGATGTAAGCTCCTCAGCTTTCAGTGACAACTCACTTTTTTCAGATCAAAATGGGTCACCTGTGAGATTTGCTTGCATCTCTGGTTTTTAAGATCTCATGCATGCATTGTGACGTTGTTGTTGTTGTGTGTGTTTGCAGTCGCAGTCGTGCCGCTCGGAGCAGTCGGTCCTGCAGGCGCTGGAGACGCTCTCAGACGCTCAGGTGAAGCTCTCGCTGCGGTCGCACACTTCCTCTTCTACCAGAACACACTCATTCACAAGAACTCACACAATCACTATTCTAATGAGTGTGCGTTTCCCACCAGCAGCTGTGAATATAACCAATGAAAGACGCCCACACGTGTGAACACGTACACAGGCACTCGTTCAGAATGAGCGGTGGGGGATTCTGGGTAAACGGCGGTAACGGGTCAGCGCTTTTCATGAATGTTCTTCAGTGTTATGAAGGGTTTGCGTGTAAGCAAATCAAGCGGCTGCTCTTTTGGCGACGAGTCGGTTTTCTGACACTCGCTATAAACGTGACATTTAACGTTTAACAGATCATTAACCTACGTGAACTACATTAGATAAGCAGAAACATTTCTATTTTTAAGTTTTAGCCCCTGCATGTGACACCTACATATGTGAAACCACATGTGCATATATTTCTCTGTGTGTGTGTGCGCTCCGCTCCTTCAGCGGGTCTGTGCGTCATTTTGGCAATGCTGAGCTGTGTGTGTGTGTGTGTGTGTGTGTGTGTGTGGTTAGACTGAAGAATGATGGATGATTTCCAAGAACAGACGCATGGCAGGCTCTTATTATAAGCGGCTCTGAATCTCATGAAACTCGTTTATCTGCTGTTAGATGTGGTTGGTGATGCTGCAGGTATTTTTAGCCTGGAAATGCTCCTGTGAAGTGTGTTAGAACGGCCTGACGCTCAACCTGTCTATGTGTCTAGACCACCGTGTGTGTGTGTGCTTCAGGAAGTTTGTTTTTGTCAGGTTTGAGCATGTTTTTCTCCGTCTGGTATTTTCTGAATGAAGCAGGTCTCACATTGAAAACAAACCGTCTTAATGCATTCATCCGTGCATTTTTTTCAATATTGTTGTTTACTTTGAAACCTTTAATCAAGCTGTTGTAAGCTGCTCTTCCTGTGGCGGGACACACTTGATGTCTCTGATGAATGCCGGTTCAGTCAGTCGCATTCAGATCTGCTTCCATTTCAGTATAAACGCTGCAAAAAATGATTTTCTTACGCAGTATTTTTGTATTGTTTTCCAGCACAAATATCTAAACATTGTTAAATCAAGATACATTTATTGGAGACGCAAAATTACGTTAATTTTTATATTTTAATGTAGCAAAATGAAGTGAGTTTTTGCTTAAAACTAAAAAAAATATTTTCCAACATGCTCAGAAAAAAACTTTATTATAAAAAAAAAAATTTGTTTTAAATCTGATTCCATTGGCAGGTATTTGTTCTTGTTTTTAGCGAAAACTCACTTCATTGTGATACATTTTTCAGAGAAAATGTAACGTCTTGAGTTATTTTTGTTTCTTGATTTAAGAATGTTTAAATATTTGTACTGCAAATCAAGACACAAGTCCTTTTTCACAGTGCAGTGCTGACTTTTCACAATCCAATCTAGTCCTGTCCCACTTTTTCTTTTCTCATTTTTAGCCATTTCATTCTGAAATCCATCACGATACCGCAGTGAATTAACATTAATATCTGCTTAGTCTGCTCCATCCTCATGGTTTTCATCCAGGTCCTGTGGTCCTGTTTATCACTCACGGTGATTGTAAGGATCCTCCAGTGTCGTCTTGCTGTCGAGGGCATCTCTGACCGTTCCCTTCAGCGTGATTGGAAATCATTTGCTCTTAATAGCTCTGTGCGTGAGGGAGCAGACCTGCGGCTCAATAGCGCTTCAGACAGAAGATGCTCTCCTAGCCGCTTCAGCATTGATCCGTGGATGCGGAATGTGGCAGCTATCGGGAGGATGAGGAATATGTTTACCGACCGTCTCCGCCGTGGGATATGTGGGGTTTTTCGGTTGTTTGAGGGAAAATGCCACCTGAAAGCATCTGCTTTGTTATTACTGAGAACCTTTAACATCCTGGGGCCAGTTGTTCAAAAGGTTTAGTCTGGATCAGAATGACCTGGATTTGGAAAGCCCATGTTTTGCGATCCAGGATCAGGTCACCCGTCTTACTTTAGTGCTAGTTTTTCAAAGCAAAATTGGATTTGCACCCTGATGCAGATACACACTTTTTCAGATTTACAAATCTGGATTACTAGTGCTCTACGGAGCGCCTAAAAGTGATGGAAACAAATACCAATGTTTTGCATTGCATTTACACACATAACTACTTCTGACTGCTCCATCTCTGATGATTGTGCCAATGTAGTTTACAATCAGTGATTAAAAAAACAACTTTAACTAACTATAATATTTTTGTATTTGGACCAGTTTTTGTCAATTTTTGTTCCTGAAATCCACCCTTCTTCTGCGATCAGAATTATAAAGTATCCCAATCTTACAAAAACGTTTTGAACAACACAAACTCAGGATTCAATCCAGATCAAAACCAAGTTCGGATTTTGTGATCTAATCTGAGTTCAGAAACTTTTTTTTTTTGTTTTTTTTTTTTGAACAACCCAGTTTCAAGATTATATCCCATCTGATCAGATTACTTTTGAACAACTGGTCCCTGGAATCTTTCAAACGCACAAAAGGTTCTTTAGGGAAACGATTATTCAAATATTCTTCACACTAAGAAACATATGATTGGAGCTGTTTACCGAAAGGTTCTTTGGGAAATCAAAAATGGCACCTTTATTTTCAAGAGTGAACTCCAAAGATCTTATTGCAAGCTGGCAACATTTCTGGGGGAAAAGGCATTTAATTACTCATTTGACTTTACTAATTTGTCATAATAGTGCTTGGATTTGTTTCAGTGTAAAAAGGGAGCACTGCACTGCAAAAACTCAGTATTTATGGTTTTTCCAGTACAAATATCTGACCATTCTTAAATCAAGATATATGTGTCCCTGCAGCACAAAAGCAGTGTTGAGTCGCTGGGGGATATTTGTAGCAATAGCCAACAATACATTGTATGGGTCACAATTATACATTTCTCTTTTATGCCAAAAATCATTAGGATATTAAGTAAAGATCATGTTCCATGAAGATATTTTGTAAATGTCCTACCGTAAATATATCAAAACTTAATGTTTGATTAGTAATATGCATTGCTAAGAACTTCATTTGAACAACTTTAAAGATGATTTTCTCAATATTTAGATTTTTTTGCACCCTCAGATTCCAGATTTTCAAATATTGTCCGATCCTAACAAACCATACATCAATGGAGAGATTATTTATTTAGCTTTCAGATGATGTATAAATCTCTATTTCAGAAAATTGACCCTTAAGACTGGTTTTGTGCTCCAGGGTCTCACATTTACTTAAGAAGCAAAATTACTTAAAATATTATGTTTTGTTTTCTGAAAAAAAAAAAAAAGTATCAAAGTTAAATGGTTTTTGTTTAAAACAAGATTTTTTTCCCCTCCCATATCATAAAATTTCACTTAATGTTTTGTTTGAAAGGACATTGAAGGGTTTAAGTAATAGTTGTTAGTTTTGTTGGTATTAGAACCGTAACCGGTTAAGTGCGATCAGAAGCAGGAAGATCTCTTTAAATGAGGCTGTGATGTTCTGAGAAGCAGAGCCTCGTCGTTAGCTGTTTCTCGCTCTGACTCTGCGTCTGCTGAGGGGCAGAATCACTCGAGGCGCTTCTGTGAGTCAGGAGTGTGTTAGTTTGGGGGTTTTGTGAAGTCGCTCGTATCTCGCTCACTCATCTGCATACCAGCCGCTCTGATGTACAGTAAACCGCTCTAAACCGGACTCCTCAGGCTGGTGCTGTGAGCATATCTGATTAGTTTACGTTTTACTAAAAGTTTCCGTTTTAGTAATTTTGTTGCGTTTTTGTTTTTTTGTAAATGTCAATAGTTTTTATTTCAGTTTTACTTATTTTAGTACATTAAAGTAAATGAAAATGAGAGATCTTTGTGTTCGATTAAAATAGCAGAGATATATAAAAAATAGTAACGTGTGTGTGTGTGCGCACATGCTGCTGAGGGGCAGAATCACTCGAGGCGCTTCTGTGAGTCAGGAGTGTGTTAGTTTGGGGGTTTTGTGAAGTCGCTCGTATCTCGCTCTCTCATCTGCATACCAGCCGCTCTGATGTACAGTAAACCGCTCTAAACCGGACTCCTCAGGCTGGTGCTGTGAGCATATCTGATTAGTTTACGTTTTACTAAAAGTTTCCGTTTTAGTAATTTTGTTGCGTTTTTGTTTTTTTGTAAATGTCAATAGTTTTTATTTCAGTTTTACTTATTTTAGTACATTAAAGTAAATGAAAATGAGAGATCTTTGTGTTCGATTAAAATAGCAGAGATATATAAAAAATAGTAACGTGTGTGTGTGCGCACATATATATATATATATATATATATATATATGTGTGTATGTTTGTTTTGGTTAACTATAATAACCCTGGTTTGTGTTAGTTCTCAATGCATGAACTACAGTCTGCATGCTGTAGAAGTGGTGTTCATGTTAAAGTATGTGAACGGATGAATGCATACTGTGATGTGGCGTTCTCTGCTTGTTGGTTTGTTGTGACGCATCAGTTGTGTTGCACTGCTTTACAAAGTACCAGCCCACAGTTTCTGAGAATGAAGTTCCCCAGACTGCTGTGCTGCTGGTCTTCACCCACTCCGGTGACTGATATCAGCGTCACACGGGCCCGCTTCAGTTCCCGAGCCCAGCACACAACACGGGACCCTTCAGGGCTCCACTCATTCTTATCACTGCTCGCTCTTTTGCGACTAACGCACAAGCTCATGATTTGGTCGCAATATTTTTTATTTTTTTGCGCTACAACATGAGATTAATCAATGCATGGTGACTTTTATCATAGTTTATAGTTATATGGAAACTAGGGATATGCCAGTATCAAATGTTCGTGTTGCGATTAATTGCTAATGCTTTCATCACGGTATACGGTATTATCACGATATTGGAATTTAGTTTTAAAAAGTGCTGTCATAATACAGTGTAACAGGTTTAATAACTTTTCTTACAACAAACATAACTGAACATTTAAATGCAGCAATTAAATAAAGCAATACAGAAAAATTTATAAAGTTAAGTTGTACACAGATTAAAGTGCAAAAGAACTATAAAGACCAATAGCTATCACTTTACAATAAGACCTCATTAGTTAACCTTAGATAATGCATTAACATTCACAATCAGCAATAGCTACATTTGCTACAGAAGTTATTAAGTTTTACTTCATGTTAGTGTTGCAACTTTAGATTTTAACAACATGTTATTAAATATTGGAATACCTAAGATTAATTAATGTTCAGAAGAGTTTTTCATTGGCAGTTTGTTAACTAATGAATTAACTAATGTTAACTAATGAAGCCCTAATGTAAAGTGTGACCGAACAATAAAGAATCAAAACACTTTCAAACAATATCTAGAGCATGTTGTAGTCCAGATTAAAATGTAAAAAAAGTTAGAAAATAAATAGCCTATTAAGTCTAAATATGTAAGTATTTGGCGCTGTGATGAACATCAGAGCAAACACACAAATCTGAATGGCTGTTTAAATAATTTAAACACGATTCAGATACAGAAAGTAGTGCAGCTGCTTTATTTACAGGGTTTCCAGGGTAACGGCTGCATTTAAATGAATTATTATTATTATTATTATTATTTCTGCAGTTTAGCTTCATCTGCTGTCAGAGAGTGAAAGTGCGCTTTTCTCCAGAGCGTCTCTCACGTGTTCCGCCGTGTGCTTCTCGTCCGCGCTTGTTTACATCAGAGTGCGCGCGCGTCTCTCACGCAGCATACAGCGCTGTTGTGCATTCTGACCAGTTGATGGGAAAAGCATTCTTAAAATGCATTCAAAATTCGGAATAATTTGTAATATATAATTATTCACGGTATTTAGAAGTGCCCACGATAACAATATCGTGCATATTCATTACCGTGATATATCGTGTTACCGAATACCGGCACAAGTCTAATGGAAACGAAAGTGGTTAACATTCAACCCGTTCATTTTCATCAGTAGCCTATTTGTGCCTATTTTGATTTTGTGAACCGGAGATCCTCTTTTGCCGTGTTATAAGCCGGGCTTCGGACGCTTTCACTTTCGAGTTCGCGATCATCTCGTCACGTTTTACGAGAAAAGATAATTGTCTGTTTTGCTTGCATACATCTACACACCTTTCACTTTTTAAGACTAAAACGAACTATGGATTCACTGTTATTCTCAATTTAAGAGCACAACAACAATAAAACGGTAGGATACAATGATAAACTAGCTTACAAAACGTTTATTAACAAAAACGAATAAGATGAGGCATGGCACACACCGCATGCTGTATTATACACCGACTAATAAATTACAGAAAGACTGAGGAATGTGGTTTGGGCGATGCATGTGAAACCTCAGCGCTGCTGGTATCTGAATCAGAGTCTGGGATGTTGGTTTCTCTGGTTTGCTAGTGCTCTACTGATGCGATCTTACACTGATACACAGTAGCTATGTTTCCATCACCCTGCTTTTATGCACAGTTTGAAGTTTCTCATTTTAAAGTGTAATGCAAAGCCAAATTTTTAATAACAATCCCTTAATTCGCAAAAAAGCTTACTTGCGCTCTCTTGAGGTGGTTTTTGACTTGTGAGAAAGAGGTTCAATGTGAATAATGGGAGATGGAAACGCATCTGAAATATTATTTTGGCCATTCTGACATGCCTGAGCAAAGTCTGTTGCCAAAGTATTTCTGTATATGTGTCTCCCAGAACGGTCTCGCACGACTGCAGGCATCCAATGCAATGAACGCATTTATTGTTTGGCTGCTCGCTCTGAGCTGCGAGTAATTTATAAAATATGAAAGTGATTATATTCAGTGGCTTCTCCTACTTGCTTAGTGATATTCAGTGCCAGTTTATCAGGAAGTGATGATTTGTTCTCTTTGACTCGTCGGATGGAAACGGTGCTTTATTCGCAAATGTTTTATGCGATATTCCAATTTTGCGCACAAGTTAAATTCGCAACTTTGGATGCAAACCCGGCTTGTGACTCTTAATCTTACAATTTTGCATCAGTGCGTTACACTTTTGTACCTGTGTTTGTTTTGATTGTGTGCATTCACAGGTTCACAGACAAAAGAGAAGCGAATGGGTATCGAAACCGTTTCAGTCGTGATCTCATTATTCCAGTTTGAGGTGTATTTAATATCAGGAGGCGGTTCTGCAAAACTGATGTTCTTATTCTTTATTTTTTATTTTTTCAATACCAGTATCTAAGCTTTTTTGTTTTATTTAGTTACATTGACTTGATGCGCGATGACATAAGATGTCATAAAATGAAATTAAAATTAATATAAAAATATCTGCAAATGGGGTCAGAAAAATAAACACAGCCCAGTATTATTTTCATCTTGTTGTCCAGTATAAATATCTAAACATCCTTAAATCAAGATGCGTTTACTGGAGATTTTTGTTTTCTGAGAAAATGGAATCAGAAAAATAATCTTGTTTTCCCTTTGAATTAAGTTTACTTTTCTGTCCCCATTGGTAGGTATTCGTTCTTGTTTTAAGCATAAACTCACTCACTTTATTAAATTTCTCAGAAAACTAGATGTCTTGTCTGATTTCATTTTGCTTCTCTAGTTAATGCATAAGTAAGAAGAATGATTTTTGCAGTGATGTCGATACCCGTTTGATTGTCAGAGTCAGAAGATGACATGTGCTACTAAATTAAACATACAAGTCTCATTAACGTCTGTTAATCATCTCGTTTGGTGTGCAGGTCAGTGACTTCCTGTCGGGACGGTCCCCGCTGACCCTTGCCCTGCGTGTGGGCGATCACATGATGTTTGTGCAGCTCCAGTTGGCAGCTCAGGCATCTGGAGGACAGCCATCCCTTTCCAGGGGTCCTACGGGCCCCAGCGAGATGCATACAGGGGCCGTCAGCAGTGGAAACCCCTCAGACTCACAGCAGCGGGAAGTCTTCTCTGCCCCGCCCTCATCTCAGGATCGCCACGCCCACAGCGCTCCAAGCTCCGCCCCTGCTCTTCACTCGCAGCATGTTTGCCACGCCCACAGCCCTCAAAGCCCCGCCCCTGCTCTTCACTCGCAGCATGTTTGCCACGCCCACAGCCCTCAAAGCCCCGCCCCTGCTCCGCCCTGCATTCAGGTAAGACATGACTGTAGAGCTGCTCCAGTCTTTCCTGTCAAACTGTTTTATTCATCTTTTATTGTATTTGTTTTATAATGCAAAATGTTTTATAATGCAAAAATATTGGCCTTAAATAGGCAGCGGTAATGTGTTACAGTGGATTAGCAATAAATGTTTAAATGAACATTCTCACAAGTATAGAAACGGCACTAAAAAAATTAAATGTTAAAAGGGTGAAAGTTCTTCTAAAAATAGAAATAAATCTAGTCTGATAGCAGCACTTACTAACTCTTGTCTTTGTCTCGTAACCGTGTAAACATTGTGAATTCAACAAGCTCTAACATTTTAAAAAATCTCATCAGAATGACTAAACCTTTAACTAAAATTAAAATGAAAACAATTAAAAATCTGATTTAAAATATTAACAAAAACTATAATAGTATATTAACGATTATTCATGATTTAATGATGATGAATTTCAGGCTGAAGGCAGCAGACAGCGATGCAAGCCCGGCGCCGTCATCGAGAGCCTGGTCAATCATTCGCCGGGAGTTTTCTCAGGAACCTTCTCAGGTAAAGTGTGGCTTCATCAGGAGAATTACAGCATAACAAGCGTCTGGTCTCGACCTCACGCTGACCTCTGCCCTCTGACCTCAGGTACTCTACACCCCACCTGTCAGGACAGCAGCGGGGGTCCTCGCCGCGACGTCAGCACCATCCTGCAGATCCTCAACGACCTGCTGAGCGCCACACGGCTTTACCAGAGATCTCCTTCCACGCTGACGCACCTCCGCTGCCCTCCGACCTCACACACACCTCCACCCTCGCCGACCTCAGACACACACACACCTCCACCCTCACCTACCTCAGACACACACACACCTCCGACCTCAGACACACACACATCTCCGACCTCACACACACCTCCACCCTCAACTACCTCAGACCGGCCACAGCCACATGCACACCTGCGCAGGCCCTCCGGTGAGTGTGTGTCTGAGAGAGTGTGTTTTTTTGTGTGAGTGTGTGTTTTTGTGTGAGTGTGTGTGTTTTTGTGTGCGTGTGTGTGTTTTTGTGTGAGAGTGTGTGTGTCTGAGAGAGTGTGTTTTTGTGAGAGTGTGTTAAGGATGGAACGATTACCGGTTTCACAAAATGCCGACGGTTAGTATTACCATTTAAAATGTAATTATCATCAAAACCGTGTTTGATTATCGCGCTTTTGAAAACTGGTGGTAAATCCTGTCCTGTCCAGCCAGCATCAGTGTGACGCAGAAGCAGCGTGCAGTGTTGTTGTTGTTGTCGTTGTTGTTGTTGTTTTGCACGAGAGGAAATGTCGGAAGGCAGTGACAGCGCTCGGGAGATTTTTCAGCCATCTAAGAGAACCAAATCGGTGGTCTGGTCGTATTTGGGCTTTTACAAGAGTCCTGAAGGCAGTTTAATGGAGGACGGTCACCCTGTCTGCCGATCTTGCAAGAAGAAAGTCGCTGCAAAAGCGGGAAACGCATCATATTTGCTCCGTCATCTTCGTGAGCACCTCCCACTGTTATATAGCGAATGCAAGGTAAGGTTTACCTCAATACCAAAACTAACTGGGCAAATAATTGGACTAAAAATATTGATTAGAGATTAAATATTTCGTTATCTCGCTTGTTTAACGCAAAGCTTCCGCGAAGAAAAGTTCTCAGCAAGTGGCTTTGAGCCAAGATGAACGTACGTTCAAACTATCAGGTTGACATTTAGAGGATAATGTATTGTATATTCATAGTTAACTTATTACATTAATTTTTTTTGTTTACCTAAAATAATATATAAATACGGGGATATGAAATATTGAATTGAGATTAATGTTTTGAAATCTTACCCGTTTATAAATCCATTATGAACAGCGTACAAAACAATCGTCAGGACAATATGATCACGACAGCAAAATTATAGTAGTATTAATACTAAATTCCTCTGATTTCATTTTCAATACAATCAAAAACTGAGACGGCAAGCTGCATTTGAATGAAACGAGAGAGCGCGTCTGTGCCTCTGCAGTGATGCAAGAGACATGCGGCGACTTCCAAACACAAGTGAGCATCCCTATGCCCTACTCCCTTCGCAGAGCCCTTGAGGTGTGTTCTTTGAAGGGTGCAGGGCATTACTGTCTCGTAGAAGCGTCTGAAACTCTCTCGGCGAAGGGAATAACTGACCAAATACCTTAACAACACTGCGCGTGCGTCCAGCATTCAGTACTCCATCAGTTGTTGCAAATAAATATTTATTATTATTATTTTATTCAAACATTTGTCTAATTGTGTCTTATTTACTATTAAACGTTTTCAAACTAAACTTGCTTACACTACCGTCTTAAATCATATTTCTATCACTGACGAAAAATGTTGTCTTGCATTAAAATAGACTAATTTAATTAGCCTGTTCTATTTATGTTTGTATGTGAACTCGAAATCAACCCCAACTTTGCTTTTAAAAGCATCACAAGATCTCCTAACCGAAGATCACATGATCTTCAAGTGAATTATTATTATTATTATTATTATTATTATTATTATTATTATTAGGGCTTCATGTTAATGTTCATTTAATGTTTATGCAAAAAAAAAGTGCATATAGCTGCTAATTGTATTAGTTGTTTGTTTTTCAAATATAAAACTTATTGAAATGTTTTCAGTGTGTGTATCAGTTCTTTTTGAACGGTTTCATCTAATTTGAACAAAACCGTGATAATATTGATAACCGTGATAACTTTGGTCACTATAATCGTGATATGAAATTTTCATACCGTTACATCCCTAGAGTGTGTGTGTGTGTGTTAGTGTGTTTTTGTGTGAGAGTGTGTTTTTGTGTGAGAGTGTGTTTTTGTGTGTGAGAGTGTGTTTTTGTGTGTGTGTGTGTGTGTGTGTTTGTGTGTGACAGAGTGTGTGTGTGTGACAGAGTGTGTGTGTGACAGAGTGTGTGTGTGACAGAGTGTGTGTGTGACAGAGTGTGTGTGTGACAGAGTGTGTGTGTGACAGAGTGTGTGTGTGACAGAGTGTGTGTGTGACAGAGTGTGTGTGTGACAGAGTGTGTGTGTGACAGAGTGTGTGTGTGACAGAGTGTGTGTGTGACAGAGTGTGTGTGTGACAGAGTGTGTGTGTGACAGAGTGTGTGTGTGACAGAGTGTGTGTGTGACAGAGTGTGTGTGTGACAGAGTGTGTGTGTGACAGAGTGTGTGTGTGTGTGTGTGACAGAGTGTGTGTGTGTGAGAGAGAGTGTGTGTGTGTGTGTGACAGAGTGTGTGTGTGTGACAGAGTGTGTGTGTGACAGAGTGTGTTTTTGTGAGTGTGTGTGAGAGATTCTGTGTGTGAGTGTGATTCCGTGTGTGTTTTCCTGGCAGCAATGCAAATGATCTGTGGTGAGAATTCATTGAGTTGCTGCAGACAGCTCTACATGCACACACAGGAAGGGGAAGTCATATTCTGACTCAAGAGTTTTTTCTAACTTTACACACTTCTCATTTTCTCTGATTCATTGCTCTGCGTGTGTTTGGTCATTTGTGTCTCGATCTGTAACATTCAGCATCAGATCAGATTTAATACAAACACACACTGCTTCATCAAATCTCAAACACACCTCTGAATCTGATTTGACAAGACGCTATGAAGAAATGATACACTCGTGCATCTGCAAACCATTACGCTGATGAACTAGAAGAATGTTTATTAACTGATTATTCTTTTTTAAATTCTTAATATTAGTAAAAATGATAATCATGTCACATGCAATACAGATTGTTTCAAAGCAGCTTCACAGAGAAAAACAGGAAAATTAATATTGTTTCATACAAATAAACGCATTAAAAACAAAAACTACTAAAGCACTGTGGGGGCGGGGCCTAAACAATGTGACATCACACTGCATGAGAATCAAAACGGCAGGCCTACTGAGACTGACTTGGTTTAAAGAGAATTAAAAAATGAGGAGTGGGTGGATTTTTATCAGGGCAGGGTGGTTGTGTTCACACACTGTCAACACACATTTATGTCCAAACACCATGTAAAAGTGGATTTTGCATAATAGGTGCCCTTTAAAATATGGTTATCTCACTGAAATGGCATGTTATAATGTTGTTTTACCGCTGCTCTGAATGAGACGAGAGCTCACAGAGGTCAGCCGCGGGTGTCACGCCGGGCTCTGGGCTTTCAGAGGGTCACGACCCCGTTAGTGAACATTAACCAGCCGCCGCTGACCTGACCTTACACACACACACACACACACACACACACACACACACGCACACTCTCTCTCTTATTTCGACTCGTCTCTTTCCCGCACACAGCCTTCATGAACAATGTGACATCACACTGCATGAGAATCAAAACGGCAGGCCTACTGAGACTGACTTGGTTTAAAGAGAATTAAAAAATGAGGAGTGGGTGGATTTTTATCAGGGCAGGGTGGTTGTGTTCACACACTGTCAACACACATTTATGTCCAAACACCATGTAAAAGTGGATTTTGCATAATAGGTGCCCTTTAAAATATGGTTATCTCACTGAAATGGCATGTTATAATGTTGTTTTACCGCTGCTCTGAATGAGACGAGAGCTCACAGAGGTCAGCCGTGGGTGTCACGCCGGGCTCTGGGCTTTCAGAGGGTCACGACCCCGTTAGTGAACATTAACCAGCCGCCGCTGACCTTACACACACACACACACACACACACACACACGCACACTCACTCTCTTATTTCGACTCGTGTCTTTCCAGCACACAGGCTTCATGAATTATTCAGCTTTGCTCAGGCACGCTCGGGCCCTCAGGGGCCTCCAGGAGTAATGTTGTTTTACCGCTGCTCTGAATGAGACGAGAGCTCACAGAGGTCAGCCGTGGGTGTCACGCCGGGCTCTGGGCTTTCAGAGGGTCACGACCCCGTTAGTGAACATTAACCAGCCGCCGCTGACCTTACACACACACACACACACCCACACCCACACACACACGCACACTCACTCTCTTATTTCGACTCGTGTCTTTCCAGCACACAGGCTTCATGAATTATTCAGCTTTGCTCGGGCCCTCAGGGGCCTCCAGGAGCCCCTCAGCATCTCGTCCCCGTGTGTGTTTAAGTGTGTGTGAGTGTGTGTGTGCGCGCGCAGTGGAAACATGCTGATGAAGCATCAGTGATTCATGGGTCAGCAGCTCTGGAAGGACAGTGCAGGTTACTCAGGAATCTCGTGAGCGCGCGGCTCGTATTTCAGTCCTGTTTTTAGGAGCATTGAGGCATTATTTGAGTTTAACTCTCATCACGGTTATGTGTCTGTTCCTCTGAGGTGATCTGAACGTGTTTCGTGAGGCTCGCTGCTGATCTGATGTTTGTTTGTTGTGAATGTAAAAGTGAAAGTGAGCATCAGCTCTTCCGGTCTTCGCATCTATCTTTTCTTCTGTAGACACGCGTTGTTTTAGTATCACTGACGTACTTTTTGTTGGATTTAGAATTGGTTTTTATTTTTATATAAAGTATTTCATTTATTGTTTTGTTGTTCGTAGTAAATCGTAGTAAAAACTATAATTATAAAATGCTCTATTTTTAAATAAACTAATTACTAAAAAAGCAACTTTTCTTAAAAGATTAATTTTATTTTTGAATAAAATATTAACTTTATATTTTTTATTTGTCTATTTTTACACACACACACACGTATAATAAACTATTTTATTTGTAATTGAATATACTTTATATAAAGTAAACTAAAATTTATATATTTTTATGAACTATAATTTTTTTTAAATTAAAGAATTTATTATCATGGAATTATTCATTCTCAATTGAATTGTTATAAATGTATAAATTTAATTTAATAAAGTAATTTTTGTCTTTTTTTATTGTTTTTTTCCCTTTTTAGGGAACACATTTAGTTTTTTTTCACATTTAGTTTGTTATTTTAGTACATCAAGTTAAACTAAATTAAAATAAAACAATAATCCCCGTGAAGCCGTGGTTTACAGTGAATTTATAACAGTTAAGGGGCGTTAGGTACGACGCGAAGCGGGTGAAGCCGTGGTTTACAGTGAATTTATAACAGTTAAGGGGCGTTAGGTACGACGCGAAGCGGAGCAAAACCCCGTAGCTGTTATAAATTCACTGTAAACCACGGCTTCACGGGGATTACTGCTTTTATAAAACACGGTTATTCACATATACGTAGCAAGGTTTCACAAAATAAAGCAGAGCAAATAAAGTGTAATGATATTAATAAACACAGTATTCTTCCACCAAACAATGTAGCTCCTCAGAAACAGTTGTGGTTGCTACAAAGTGGTTGCCGAGCAACACACAGACGTAAACAAAGGTGTGTGTTACTTTGTAGCGTCATTTACAACAGCTTCGAACACGGCTCAGCCAATCAGAGCCAAGCACCGGAGCTCTCCGCTTTATAATGAGAAATATTGACTTGGCAACTATCTTTTCAAATTCTTTTGTGTGTGTGTGTGTGTGTAGTTTTATTTGAGAGTAATAATAGCATGCTGAGTGCACAGACTCTGGCTGGTCTGTAGTGTAGGTGTCTCTGTTGTTGTTTGCGTATCGTCTGATTCGTCTCTCTGTCTCTCTCTCTGTCAGGAGAGCGTCTGCGGCAGACGGAGAATAAAGCCATGCGCTGTAAGGTGGAGCAGCTGCAGCTCTTACTGCAGCAGCGGCGTCTGCGGCGAAAGGTCCGGAGAGACACTCGCGGCCCGTATCACTGGATGACCCACCGCCAGAACCTGTCCAGCGACGCGTCGAGCCGGCCTGGAAACCCCACGGCCCGGCAGACATCAACCCGGAGTTTGTCGTGGTGTGACGGACGCAAGGATGAAAGCGCGACACGACCTGGGCATTAACGGCCGACTGACACGGTCCCTCAGGAGCCGCTCAATGCCTTCACGGTCGGTTTGCAGGGATTCTCAGTTCTCTTCACGGCTGTTCAAGCGCAGGATGTAGCATCTTCACATCAGGTGTTCAGCTCTGGTGCATGAGGTTTTGCACAGTTCATTTCTCTTGAGCATTATGGGATTGTACGTCAGTCAGACCGCTGATTATTTTCAGCCTGGATTTGGGCGAATCTCATGAAAACAGCTCATATTTCACCCCAGAATCAAATGAATATGTATATTTGTCATTTAAAGAAAATGAAGCCATAGATAATTATATATATAACTCTCATTTTAAATGGAAACAGTAAATCTAAAAATAAAAACCAAGTCTTATAATTAATAAATACTACGTTATAATTTATTATTACATTTATTAGTGAAAATAATTGATTTTTCATTGTCTATATTTTTAAATAAATGATAGTTTTTCTAAATTAATACCAACTTGTAGTCATTTTGGGGGTTTTGCCTCTTTGTATTTGTTTTTTATGCATTCTTGTTTCCGTTTCTGTTATATTTGTACATCAAGTAAAAAAAAAACTATAATATACTAAACTTTTATTCCTGCTAGTTGCCAAGGCAACATTTAAAATAAAAATTTGAAAGTTTATCTTGATGTACTAAAATACTTGCCATTAAAATAACGCTTAAATGCTAAAATAACTAACTAAATAAACAAAAAAAAATTTGACATTTATAAAAAAATCTAATCAAAATGACTAAACCTTTAACTAAAATTAAAATGAAAACCAAAAAAAATCTGATATAATTTTTATTTATTTCTATATATTTTTAATCGTGCTTAAAATAGGCTTTACTTCTTTATGAAAAATACCATAATTTTTTTCCCCGTTTAATTTTAGGATGAAATATGGCCTGGACATGTTTGGTGAGATTTAGCGGCTTTATTTCTGAAGAAAGAGTCGTAATGCAGCATTTTCTTGTGGATTATTACTGAAGTTCCTCTCAGACGGTAGCCAGTGTCTGTTTGCGAGTCTCAGACGCTGTCTGTGTGTTTCTCACGGACGAACCTCTGAGCGGGAGTCATTATGAAAGCTGAAGTAAAGCTGGTTTGCAGATTTGGTTCTTCTGCTGGACCGCGTGTGAAGGAAGAGGTTTGCTGAGCGTTGTTCAGTGGCCTTGTGTAATCTGTGAGGAACATTCCCTGAACTGCTGCAGAGTGTGGAATAACGTGTCTCTCTCTGAAGATCGAGGTCTGATCTCTGATGAGTGAAAGCGGTCTCTCTCAGAAACGCTCGGCATGAAGCAGGAGTCACGTTCATGTTTGTAGTACTACTTGAGCCCGTCGTCTTCAGAAAAGCGTGTAGCACATTCATACCACTGTATTAATTTATAAACTCGCCTGGTTACTGTGAAACATTCTGCGCTTTAGTTTTGTAACTTTTCTTTCTTCCTCAGGTTTGTGTTTTTGTTCTTAATGCTGGATGTGTTTCAGCTTTTGTCTTCTCCAGATGTTAACTGATGGACTGGAGTGCTGTGGATTACTGTGATGTTTTTATCAGCTCTCATTCTGACGGCACCCATTCACTGCAGAGCATCTGTTGCTGAGCCTGAAAACATGCAACAGCAACAATATTTACATGTATTCATTCAGCAGACGCTTTTATTCAAACTGACTTAGAAAAGAGGAACGAGTGATTAGTCGGTGCTGATGTGTTTGTCTGAAGCGCTGGTCTGGTCTAGACGGCGGGAGTCATGTGACGCTGCTGATGTTGACTGTGTTTATATCACAGGTGTGTTTGTCAGCCGTTGGCTTGATCTTCTCAGCGGTTTCACACTAAAGCAGGATCTGAAACAGAAACCCTGAGTCTGACATTTGGACACCTCACACACAAAAACAAGAGCGTGTCGTCGCTTCAAATTACTGCTGGTTCAGTATCATTCATATACTCTTATATAGGTTTCGCCAATTATTTTAAATTCTAGTTCTTAAAATGTAAACACTGTTTACACCTTTAAATTTAAAGTTCTAGTAGTTTGTTGTTTTGTCATTTTTATTTACTATTTATACAGTATTTATAAATTTTTAGTTATTATTTGGTTATGATTATTTTAGTACTCAAACGAAAAGGAGAAATGTTGCATTGGAAACTAGCTGGAAAAAAATGTAACATTTAATTTCAAGTCACAGAAATGTAATTTTTTTTTCTTTAATGGTTTTGGTTTTAGTTGGCAGTAATAACCCTGCTTCAGGAAAACACGAGGTAGATGAGCAGACACCGAATCCTTCCGTGTGTGAACGAGCAAACGCTCAGTAATTGTGGACGAACGTGGAACGACGCGTTACAAGTAACACAAGTTACGTCACGAGTAAAGTAACACATTACTGTTTAACTTGTAAGTAAATATCTGAGTTACTTTGTTTCCATGTGTTGAGTGACAGCTCTGGTGTTGCCATGGTGACAGAAATCAGGAGTCAGAGCAGAGCGTTGTGTGTGAACATGATCTTACTGTAGCTCTAGACTCAATATCAACATGTTTACTCATCTCACTGCACACAAACACATTCAGTGCTCCTCACAATCAATACAAACATTATATATGCAAACTCAGAATATTATACAAACCTGCAATAATTAAATGTGTTAAATAAGACAAATATTATGTATTTAATCCCATTTTATTAACC